GCTTACCTCAGTATTCCTAATTTTTGTTTAGAAAATATCATTCTGTTTGTAATTATGTACATGACTTATTTTATTTGAGTCAATTTTAACAAGTCCTATGAAGGCTGTGATTTCTTCCTTATCTGATTTAAGTATTCACTGAGAATGATTTTTAATGTTAATTCTCTTGTTTTAGTCCAACAATAAGTACATTGAAATATATGCTTGTGTTTTAAGTGATTTTATTTTTAACCTAAATCTTATAATTGTATCTAGAATATCAGAATGAATTAAAGCATTTGAAGTTCTTATGGTGTTATGCACTCATTCATTGAACATTGTCATCCAGATGGCAGAGAGAGAATCTCTGAATCTAGAGCATCAGATACAGTACTTTACAAATTAGATTTATTAAAGATGTGTGTAGAAGACTTTTTTATGCCATTATTGACTGAATAACATAACATGTGTGTCTTTGAACCAAATGCTCACACATACTTTTAAATTAATATAATGATATAATAAAATAATGAAATATAATATAAATGATATTCTTAGAATATCCTGCATATAATATTAAAGCCTGAAATTCAAGCACAGGCCTCCAACCTGGAGAATTTCTAAGGAAACAATAAAGGAACTGGAGACAATACCTAATTTCTGTGTTGTGTCTAGAGCTAACCCATTATGGAATAACATATTCACATTTCTGACAACAAGACCTTCAATTTCATGACCAGAAACAGAACATTGGCCTATAAATTTAACAAGATGAAATCTGTAAAATGTAAATAGTCTTCTAAGTTTACATGGTTGACAATTTGCTTACTTGAAATAAAATGTCAATTCCAATCTATCACATGACTCTTTACAATTAAGTTCACGAAGGTAGGCTCTCAGAGGTCTTCCTTCCTCTATCTTTTTCACATTGTCAGCAGCAATGGCAACAGTAACCCATTTTCCATCAATCTGAAAAAAACAGCAAAGGACATTAGAATGTGAGTTGGTATCAAATCTATGATCCCAGTCCTTGGAAATACATAAAATAACTAGAAACATAAATCAATAATATTTTCTTTATTAGTTAAAAAGTATGGTTCTAGGGATGTAGAATAACACAGGGTAATATGATGACTCAATTTACATAGCATTTAGTACATGAGACCTTTTGGAATTACTCATGTGCTCGCCTCTTAAGCCCTGGAATTCAACCCATAGTTTCCTTAGTTCATTTGTTTCATCTTAGAAAAATCTGATTGAAAAAGTGCACATGAGTGAAAGTCAGAAATGAATATGGACATGCATGGACAAACTGAATGAAACATCACATCCACAAAAACATGATGTTGAAGAACATCAAACCTGTTCACAGACCAAATGAATTTACCTCAGCATGAACACGAGCCAGACCAAATGCCAAAGCCAGCAGAAGAAACTTTACCATGGTGGTACCAGCCTTTGCTCTTCTGCAGAAGCTCAAAGTAGAATATTTGTGAAGGAACTGAACTGACAAAGCTTTTTATACAGTTAGTTAAAGGGAGTTTCATGGAATCAACCAATGGTTCGGTGCCACAACAACTTGGATCTGTCCAGTATTTCTACTTTGACCCTCTTGAACGGTTTGTGATTTCATATTACTAAACTAATACAATTAGACTAAAGGTCAGGTTCTGTTCAGATGATTAATTGAACATTCTTGTAAAAAAAATAAATAAATAACTATCCCTGTGAGAACATTTAAGCAAACATTTTGCTTCCAGAACTATACTGGTGGGTAAAGGTCACAATGAATATGCATATGTCATATAGGATTCATTTAAAACCATGGCATGTGCTTTAAAATACATTCTGAATCTAAGCATACTACAGTGCAGTTAAATTAATTTAAAACTGTAGACTGGACTATATGAGCCAAAGCAACCACACTGTTAGAAGATAAGTTGGTAACGCTAAAGAAGGATTTTGTATACAGATATTGATATGTCCTGTGCTATCTTTAAGTCTTCCCATATGTTGAGTACATTTTTCTTCCAGCACACTGAACTCAACTGTTATAACACAGAGCTTCAAGAGATATC